TATTAAAGGCAAAGAATATTGAGTTGTGTATATGATTAGACACGTGAGTTTTGGGGCATTTAAAATTCAGCCCACTGGGCCGGCACATGACCCAAATGAAATTTCTCTCTCCGATCAACTGCCACCTCAGAATTCCTGGTTGGTGAAGCAGCAGTCCCCCGTCCGGGACCGAGGCGAGTAAATTTATTTTGTGAGAAAGAAACAACAACAATGGCTGGAATTGGACAACATCCATAGGCCTTTGTATTCACAGTTACAAAAAAATAATCATCTGTATATGTGATCCTGACAGGCTTGAGAGCGTAGGGCACCAATCACTGACCTGCTGCACAGAGTCTTCCAAGTCGGCGAGGAACTTCTCGACCATCCCAACATGCTGAAGAGTCACACATATATGGAGGCTGTGCACGGAAAAGAAAAGCAGCCAGGACCTCAGAAAAGCGTATCAGGGGAGTGAAAGAATGGGAAAGACCGCTAAAGATCCATAAATCACAATGCGCAAATGATATAAGGTGGCAATTAAATCACAATGAAAAAATGCTGTACGGTGGCAAGTATCCGACTGAGGAGGGAAAACACCAGACAAAACCCATCTGTATATCTGACCAACAAAAGCTTTAGAAGTGGAGTTCATTTTGACCAGATCCTGGGCACTACAATTTTTCGGTGGGCTTCTACTCTTCTCTCTCCCAAGCAGGATGCGCCTAAGGAATTCCTTGCATGCCTGTGTAGACTCTTAAAAACAATGGCATTTTCATTTTGTTTTATTTTTACACTCACACCCACATTCACACCCCCACACACGGCCACAGGCACACACGCATATGCACCCATCTCCCCCCCCCCAACACACACACACACACACACAATCAGTTTTAGATATGTCTGTCTGTTTTCTTGTTTTTCCTCCTTGCGCCGATTTTTTTCTAAGTACTTTCTGTCTGTTGGAGTGAGCACCCTTAAGAAGTGCTAAACAGTAGGTGGTCCGTTGTTTGGAGCGGCTTCAGCACTCTTAGGGGGCCGCTCGGTTTGGGCTGTCTGTGTTGCCTGTGAGTGATGACAGATGTTCATCTGGGTGATTCCCTGGCTCAGCAGGTGGTGGGAACCAACAGTCTGCGGAGTTCAATCGTGATGCAAGTAGGTGATCGTGATGCGAGTAGGTGATGTGCTGCTTTGATCAGTGTTGGATGTGTACACTGCCTTGTCTGGCCTTCGCTGCTGCCTCGCTGCCTGTCCTGCTTGTGTTGCATGTAGTTCTTTGCAAGACTGTTGTGTTCACTCTGTGGTGTGGTTGTTGTGTTAGTGTTGCCCTGTACTTCGCTGTGCTGCTGCTTTGCCGCATTGCTGCCCATCCGTATGCCGTGCCTTCTGTGTGTCGTGTAGTGTGGCTGCTGTGCTGATGCTGCCTTGTGCGTTGCCGCAATGTTGCCCTGCTACTCGTCCATTTGCCTTCTGTGTTCCTTGCTTGTGTGCCATGTAGTATGGCTGCTGTGTTGGTACTGCCTTGTGCTTCGCCGTGCTGTTGCCCTGCTGCTCGTCCGCTGGCCGTGTCGTTCCTTGCAGTCGTTTTTGGCGTTGTGTTGCTCCGGCAGCATTGCCTGGTGCTTTGCTGAGTTGTTGCCCTCCTGCTGTGTTCCGCTTGTGGACGGTCTGCCTTCAACATGGGTCAAACGGCTCATGACCCAAACCATCAATACGGAGATTCCACAGGTTGTCGAGGGTTCAGCCTCCTGATGAGTTGGTGCAACTCCAACAAAACAATCTACCATCCGTTGTTTTTTTTTTCAATTTTAAAGCTGTCTTCTCCTCATCGGGGGACAGCCATATATTTTACCCTCAATTTTCCTCAGATATATACACCTTCTCAGCATGGGACAGACGCTAAGGGTTATGGGTTGGATTCCCGGCCTCCCGACATTCTCCTTAGTGTATCCCAGCCTTCTACCCGACTCTGCTCTATGCGGGGAGTACCCCGGCTCCTAACACCTGGCGCGAGCGGGAAAGTGCAGATTCTTCCGCAACCAGCCAGGAGGCCCAAGCCAATTATCTCAACTGGTGAACCCGAAGTGCATCACAAGGGGCCGCGGGGGATTGAATGGACGAAGTGGGGAATCGAACCTGCGACCTCCTGAATACCACTTACGTGCTCAACCAACTGAGCTAGCCTGATCAGTTTTACTTTTTTTGCTTTGTGTTTTTTCCATACTTGCAACCGCACGAGCCGCACATTCGTGCGGAGTTCCGTGCGGGGGGTGCCTGTGCGGAATCCTGCAGGTTTTTTATTTTTATTATTATTATTTGATCTTTTTTTGGGAGGGGGAACGGGGGGGCGTATGGCAGGAAGATGGGGATATGGCGAGGAGAGGGGGATATGGAGAGGAGAAGGAGGATGTGGACGAGGAGGACGACGAGGATAGCGAGGACGACGAGGAGGAGTCGTCGAGATGGGGGAGGAGAAGAGATGGACGGAGGGAAAAGAGGAAGGGCAGGAGGAGGAGGACGAGTGGGAGGAGGAGACATGGACGGCGAGGAAGGGGAGGACACGGGAAGGGGAGGACACGGGAAGGGGAGGACACGGGGAAGGGAAGGAGACGAGGAGGCATGGAAGATGAGGAAGTACGAGGAAGGAGGAGGAGGAGACAAGGAGGATGAGGAAGGCAGGAGGAGGAGGACGAACAGGAGGAGGAGGAGGAGGAGGAGGAGACGAAAAGGAGAAGGGAGGAGGAGACATGGAGGATGAGGAAGGGGAGGGAGAGCAAGGTGAGGCAGTACTCGTGTAAATTGTTTTTTCATCTTGCTTATAATTTTGGCAGGGAGCCTCAAACACACCATTTTGAACCCGGCCCTTCTTTTTTTTCTGAGGGGGGTGACGGGTCGTTCTCCGCACACGTCGTGCGCCGCACGGGATCGGTTGGGCGCGTGCGCCGCACGTAGGGAACCTCCCACACGACGTGTGCTTGCAAGTATGGTTTTTTCGCTACTTGTTCTTTTGCCTGCTTTGTTGTCTTGTTGCCTTGCTGCTTCTTGAATTTTTGTCCGTCCTTTTCTTGCTTAGTGTTGTTTGCCTGCCCACTCGCCTCCCCCATGCCCTGCAGCCTACATTCCGTGCTGTTGCTTCACTGCCCTAGTGCTACTTCTTGACTTGCTGTTGCCCCCTCGTTCTTCTGCCTAGTGCTGCCCACCCTTTGTTCTTGGCTGCGGCTTGTCGTCCAAGTGCCGTGTTGCGTCTTGACCTTTGCCTTGCCATTTTGTTTGCCTTGTTGTACTTGCCTTGCTGCTGGCTGGCTTGGTTTTGTTTTATGTTTTTCTTTCTTGTTTCATGGCTTTTGAAAGCTGGACATTATAAGCATTCTTTTCTATGGGCATCCCGGGCTGGGGGCTCTTTCGCTGTGTTGTTTACAAGCACACCTTCTGACGCAACATGCCGCGGCACGGTCGCGGGAGCCTTGTACTACACAAACAAACACACGCAGAGATTCGTCTCTTTTTGCTTACGAATGGGTCAGATACGTGAGTAGTCTTGTTGCTGTCCATGTGTGTCCTCCCAACACTTCCCAAGTTCCGTGCCTCTTTGCGTTCTGAATGCGCTTTCCCATGAGAGTAAAGGTCATGTCCTCTTAGTGTTTGTCTGGGTTGTGCATGCTGCCTTGTTGCCTGCCCCGCTTGCTTCGCATGTAGTTCTCTGCAAGCTGGTGTGTTCGCCCTGTGGTGTGGCCGTGCTGTTGGTGTTGCTTTGTGCTTCGCTGTTCCGCTGGCCCGCTGCCTTGCCGCCCATCCGCAAGCCGTGCCAGCCGTGTCATTTGCTTGCATACCGTGTAGTTCGGTTGCCTTGTTGATGTTGCATTGTGTTTCACTGCATGGTTGCCGTGCTGCTCGTCCGCTAGCACTGTCGCCCCTGCTGTGTGGTTGCCTTGTTGGTGTTGCCTTGTTCTTCACTGCCAAGTTGCCGCGCTGTGTCATGCATGGCATGTTGTTGCTTGCAGTCATTTCTGGCGTTGTGCAGCTGTGTTGCCTCTACTCTGCTTCCTGGTGATCTGCAGGGTTGCTGCCTGCTCCTATGTTCCGTTTGGGGACAGTCTTCCTTCAACATGAGTCAAATGGTTCATGACCCAAACCATCAAACACGGAGTCTCCGCAGATTGCCGAGGGTTCGGCCTCCTTTGTGTTTTTTTGCAACTTGTTCTTTTGCCTGCTTTGTTGTCTTGTTGCCTTGCTGCTTCTTGACTTCCTGTTCGTTCTTTTCTGCTTAGTGTTGTTTGCCTGCCCACCCGCCTCCCCCATGCCCTCCAGCCTACGTTCGGTGCTGTTGTTTCACCACCCTAGTGCTACTTCTTGACTTGATGTTGCCGCCTCGTTCTTCTGCCTAGTGCTGTTTGTCTGCCCACCCGCCCCCCATCCCTTTACCCTTTGTTCTTTGCTGCGGCTTGTCGTCCACGTGCCGTGTTGCGTCTTGACCTTTGCCTTGCAATTTTGTTTGCCGTGTTGTACTTCCCTTGCTGCTCGTTTGCTTTTTGTTTTATGTTTGTCTTTTTTGTTTCATGGCTTTTGAAAGCTGGACATTATAAACATTCTTTTCTGTGGGCATCCCTGGCTGCGGGCTCTTTCCCTGTGTTGTTTATAAGCACACCTTCTGACGCAACATGCTGCGGCACAATCGCGGGAGCTTCGTACCACACAAACAAACACACACACATTCTTTTCTGGGGGGATCCGGTCCAGTTACCTGTCCACGGCAAGCACGTGAGACCAGACTCAGAGAATGGGCTGGACGATCTAAGGACTGATCAGTCTAGTTGATGTCTTCTGCCTTGTATATCTCTTTTCTCTTTTTTCCTCTTTTTGCTTCTTCTTCTTCTTTTTTTTTTTTTTTTTTTTTTTTTTTTTTTTTTTTTTTTTTTTTTTTTTTTTTTTTTTTTTCCTTTTTTTTTTTCTCTCTCTCTTTTGTCTTTGACTCCTTTTTCTTCTTTCTTCTTTCTTCTTTCTTCTTTTTTCTTTTTTCTTCTTTTTTCTTTTTCGTTTTCATTCGTTTCTTTTTCTTCGTCTTCAGGTTTTTTGCACATCCAGTATACCGCAGCTGGTTGTTTGATCCCGGGCAGAAAAACCTTATCGCTCAGATGTTGACGATAGGTTGATCTATTTACAGGTAGACTAAGGCTTGGGTCTGCATCTATTCATTCAGTACGCATGTGTTCCGCTCCGGGGACTGGCCGTTGAGATTTACTGCGGGGACTTGCTCCAGCTCCGTATGCTCAGACGCGTGGTGTTGACGTCAAGCTTCGTCCAGACGAGTGGCAGTAACTTGTGCTGGTGGCCATGGATTACCAGGTGGATCCTGCTCTGGTGGATCGGATCATTGGCGCCGATGAAGAGACGGTATAATCATTCGATGACCTGATTAACCGGCAGTCGTACGCGGCCTCGCTTTCCTGCTTTCTAGAGCCTTGGCGCTTGCTGCTTTGCACGTTGCACACGTCCAGGGCATGTGTTCTTTCCGCCTGTTTCCTTGCGAAGTGATTCGTTGGTTACTCTACAGGGCACTTGCGCTGCTCAAACTTGTGATGCAACAGGAGGAGATGGCTGTGTTATGAACTTGGTTGTTTGACAATTTTCTCGCCACTCACACACCAAGTATCTCACACATGCCCATACATGCACAAGACAAAGGGGAGGAGAGACAGAGTCCAAACTGTACACAGACTAGAGATAAGCAGCGGAATAGCAACCATGCACAGATGGGGAGAATACACACTGTGTTTCTCTCTCCCTGACAAACTCCCAACAACCAATCACAAGAGGACACTGCGAAGATCACAATTGGAATATAACACTGATGATGAGCCAACTCAACAACTCAATTAACCCCAAGTATCGTCACAGAGTTTAACCCAGTGTCTCGCCACCTCAGCACTCACACTCCACACACAACCCCACTCCCAGAGTCCAGCGCTACACTGAAATGGCCTCCCAGAGGCCAGCGCCATCCACCAAGATGAAGATAATGAATCGCAGTGTAGTCCTCAGTGCCGATGAGCCACTCTGACGATGAAGAAGGCAGCTATGGCTGCCGAGCTGCTACCATAGCAGCTGCGCCCACATGTACCCCACGAAGAGCCTCCAAATAGCCCTGCCTGGCGCAGATACCCCCAGGGGGTAGATGCGCTGAGACTGGCCCCAGCTATGGCCGTCCCTCAGGGGCTGGCTATGGCTGCCTCACATAGCTGGAGTCTCAGGTGCCGCTGTAGACTATCAGCGCTGGAAACTTGGTTGGCCACGAACGCTGTCCCGCGAAAATGAAAAGCCAAAAGTCCTGAATCGGTGGGCCTAACCTATCTATAGACTCTCTAGACCTAGACCGGACTGACTGACCGACCGGTACCGTTGCTGTTTCGGCCTCTCGGCCTCTACCGGACCCGGCTATAGGCTATAGGACCGTCTAGCAGTCTAGGCCGCTTAGGGCCTGTCTGTCCTAGGGGTAGCCCGGGCCTGCTATAGGCAGTTAGGGTAGCTGTAGGAATTCGGTTAGTACCGGGCCTGTATTTTCCCGGATTTACAGATCTGTCCCTCACGAATTTCCTTGCAGGCAGGTCTCTCGGTTAGCCCTGTACAGCCTCGCAGTCAGTCTCGGCAGCAGAAATCAGCAAGTCATTGCAGCTGGAAGGACGGAGGTTGCCATTGAGATTTCTGCAGGGTAGTGGCAGTCCCTGAAGCGCTTTTCTGCCGCTGGCCACGATTTCACTTCTTCATCAGAGGGTAACACCTGCAAATTACTGTGCGTGCTTGGGTAGCGCAATGGGCGAGGAAGGCGGCATGGTCTGCAGCTGATATAAGAACGCTAGAAAGGATAGAAAAGCGAGCAGTGCGATGAAAGCAAGCAGAACGAATGCAGAAGCTATGGCTGTCGAGGTTGAGATCCCATATTACGTGGATCCGCCTTTGGGAATGCAGTCGATTTGTGTTCACTTTCCTAGTGATGGTGCTGGGTGCTCTCGTTCTCACTTATGCTCGGTGAAAGTGGATCTATGATGCTACAATTCGAAGCCGAAAGAGACTGTTCCTTTTGAATGGAAATATGGTTTGGTCATTTGTCCTTTGATCGCAGCAATCGTATGGTTTGTTTGTTTTCACTTTTTCGTTTGTCGTTTTCCTTTCTTCTTTCTTTACTTCTCTTTTTTCCTCTCTCCGTCTCTCTCTCTTCCTGTGAGAAATGGTCCTTAGGAATTGCTTCCTCATTGCAAGTGCATGGATCAATGTTTAAATATAGATCGCACCTGTTCCCTGTCACATGGAAACATGGATGACTACGCACAGACATCATGATGAATCTTGTGTCGATAACCCTTTCATTCTTAATCTCCCCATGCTGCATTCGCACTATCCCTGAGACACGAATTTTACGTACGTTTTTTTAACACGTTCTCTAAATGCATTGGATATGGTGTCTGCTGCTTGTTTTTCTCCTTTGTGGGTTGGGGTATTAAATCTGGAGGCATTATCAATGCTCGGTTTCGAACCTTGGCAAGGTTTCCCGCGCTTTGATAGTCTTGAATATGATGATAGGTACCCACAAGGGACTGAAAACCATGTCTCTTTCCTCTGTTTTTTTCTGTATATATATCGTCACAAACAGAACTGCCCGGTAAACTGTAGGCAGAGAGAGAGAAGAGGACAACAAACGAGGGGCTGTGACAAACTGTTTCGTCGGAGTTTCACCGACTCATCAGGAGGCTGAACCCTCGTATGTACATACCTTTTTCTCTCTCTATTTGTTTTTTATTAGGTTGGTTCCTGTATGCTCCTGTTTCGGGATGGTGGTCGAAAGAAATCCTGTGTCCACCCTGGATGTTTTAACGGAGATTGCGCCGATATATTATTTCGGAAAAAAAATAAAAAAAATAAAAAAATAAAAAATTGCTAGAATATTTGTTTCTAGTACTTTCTACTATCTAGTATCTTTAACTAATCTCGTAAAATATCCCCAAAATGAGAAGTTGCAAGTTGCAACTATATTGATCAATATTATACCAACTACTCCCAGCACTTTCCAGTCTCTGCTTATCTAGACAGCATAATGCGTCAATTATTTGCTTTATTTGTAGTAACTGTAGCTGCTGCAAAATCTGCTCTTGGGCGCGCTTTCATGTTATTACTTGGAACTGCCCAAGGCTGATACAATCAACCCCTTCCAACTGTCTCAACCCACAACCAAAAGCATTAGAGACCGATCACAGAGTTATAAGGAAATGTGAACAAGGGGCAGTTTAGCAGTTTACCATGCAGGGAGATGTAAAGGAACTAACTTCCATCCTCTTGCGACCATCTCGTCGTTCACTCTGAAAATGTCCATTGTGTCCGACCCAAACGATACAACTGTCATATCAGGGCGGCCCAATACATGGAGATCACTGATTGCCTCAATCCTGCAGGGAAAGTACATCATTCTATATAGGTCAGGATACTCCCCCTCCGCCGCGCACTCCCCCCCCCCCCCCCCCCCCCCACAAAAAAAAAAAGGTACTCCCACCAGAATTCTGCAATTGATCATCGGCACAATGCACGATAAGGCCTTCCCCGTAATTACTATATTGTTTTAAATACATTAAAGCAAGAAAACCGTAACAATATCTTCATCACAATGCAATTGTTATGAATTTGGTTGTCTGTTGATTTCAATCAACACTCACACTCAGTCAATCTCACACATGCCCATACACGCATAAGAAGAAGGTGCATGGGTCCTGGAGACCATCTCACGCAAGTGTGTACATGCCATGCATCGTTCTCCCACACACAACGAACAGTAGTCTGATAATAGACAAAGGTAGAGAAGATGAGAACCGAGTTTCACAGCTTATATTATCAAAAAAAATATGAATACAAAGTGTTTCAAAGTTTCCCTGAGTCCAGCGCTCATCAGCGCAACACCAATATCTTGCCAACTCATCAATATGCCTTCCAGTGAATCAGTGCTACCCCTGCAGATAGTCTCCAAGTCATCAATGTGGTCACCACTCATCAATGCCACCTCTGCAGATCACATCCAACTCAGGTAAGTATCTTCCATAGCCAACCTTGAATGAACACTCTCAGCCTCAATCCCTTCCTCTTATGATGCATATACACTCTTCAATACC